AGAGGATTTAAAACTTGTTTTTAAATAAACCAACTGAATGTCAGTTTTTATTTTAGCCCTTGGCGTTGCTGAATAGTTAGTGGTGAAATCAATAGTTGTTACGACGAATTTTAATCTAAGTTAGAAACACCTGATTAAAAAAGTTTTTAATAAATACTTAACCCAACTATTTGAGTCCGAAACATAAAACCCCAGCTAAAAACCAATGCTCCCAAACGATCAAATATAAAGTGGAGTCAGAATTAATGTCCATAAGAAATATTATGCAATGTTTTAAGAAAAATCTTTAACAGAAATTCACTTGAATAATGAAAACAATATGAATTGATAATTAAAAATTATGAACACAAGAAATACATTTAATATATTTATTTAATTATTACTTGTGGAGAAGAGTGACATGCACTTAGTTAAGAGGTAACAGTCATAATCACGCTTCTCATTCATATGGACCTCAGGGGGAAATGATAATTGAATTATTCAGGGAGAAAAGTACCTTTTGAATTGTATCGTATTTTAATTATTTGTCGTCTTCTTGGTTATCTGATTAATATCTACTGGCGCAGAAGTACTTCACTTGTGGAAGAGGAAACAGTAACAAAGCTCCTGCATAGCAAATGAGCTGTTTAGATTGGCCTTTACAGGTGCAGACGAGAGAAACCACATCATCGTGAGCAGACACATAGAGAAGAAGAGAGGACGATGCAGGTAGTATATATATATCGACCTGGAGGACCGAAATAGCGACTTAGAATAAGATAGTTAGAAGAGAATGTAAGTATAGGAGAGATAACAAAAGAATCAGGAAAGACAACTATGCTAATCAACTATATTAGATATAACGACAGAGCATGGTTATGAGTCTTCCAAATTTGAAGGTAGGAGCTTTTCTGGCCGAGATTTGAGAAGATATATCGAGCTCAGAAAGCGTCTATTGGTCTAAAGAATCAACTTCTTAGAGAAATATCTTGAAGGAGAAACAATGTGAAAATATGGAATCTATAGGGGAAGTAATGATAAAAATAGGCTGCGCTTCCAAAGGTCCTTGATTGTCATTGATGATTGGAATCAATATATCATTACAAAATTTTAGCTGGAAATGAAAGATTGTTCGTTTTAGGAGTAGAATCATCATAACAACTAGAATGCAGCATTTGCTTACGAGTCCAATGAGTAGGATGCAATAACAAGGCTAAAGGAAACTGAATAATCTGGAAGCTCTCAACTTTTAATTTTAAAAGGCCTTTACAAAGATCGCCGTCCTCTCAAAAGATTAATGTCCATTAATCAAACAGAATTCACACTAGCTAATGGTTCCATCAGCTCTTGACAGTTGGTTCCTTTTGTTTGGAAGACATTTAAAATGACATGGAGAAACTTCATTAAACAGACTGAAAGAAAATCCTGAAATGAGATTTTGGATACACTCAAATAACGTTTTTGATGGATTAGAGGAAACAGAGAGGAACAAATATTACCCTGATATAGCATGTTTTTTCAAGGGGAAGAACAAAGATCACGTTACCAAAATATTGGATAGCTGTGGCTTCTATCCTGATATTGGAATAAGAGTTCTTATTGACAAATCTCTCATAACTATTGTGGGTGAAAGATTGTGGATGCATGATTTGCTACAAGAAATGGGTTGGAAACTAGTTCGGCAAGAATCTCCGAAGGAGCCGGGAAAACGTAGTAGGCTATGGCTTTTTGAGGACATCTTTCATGTTATGTCCAAAAACACAGTAAGAGTCTTAAAACCGATTGTATCTTGAACTCTTTGCTTCTAACCAAATCTTCAAGTTTGTTAATTCTATATTATAACATTTAACAAACATCAGAATTTTGGTTGCATTGGTTGATTCTCTTATACATCATAATTTGTTCTGGCATTTTGGTATTTGACTAATTGTTAGGGAACGGAAGATGTTGAAGGCCTGGTCTTAGAATTGCCGGATCCTAAAGAGAATCAATTGAGTGCTAAAGCTTTCTCGAAGATGAAAAATCTCAGATTGCTCATCTTTCATAATTTGCACTTCTCTCAAAACCTTGAATATCTGTCTAGTGAGTTACGATTTCTCGAATGGCATGGATATCCTTGCAAAACTTTTCCACCAACTTTCCAATCAAAGCAACTTGTCTTAGAATTGCCGGATCCAAAAGAGAATCAATTGAGTGCTAAAGCTTTCTCGAAGATGAAAAATCTCAGATTGCTCATCTTTCATAATTTGCACTTCTCTCAAAGCCTTGAATATCTGTCTAGTGAGTTACGATATCTCGAATGGCATGGATATCCTTGCAAAACTTTTCCACCAACTTTCCAATCAAAGCAACTTGTTGAACTTAATTTGTGTTTCAGCCAAGTCGAACAACTTTGGGATGGCATTAAGGTATGTTTATGTTCATGTAGTTTACTTGTTCACATATGGATGTCACCATTGCTAATTTCCTGAATTCATCATTGTTAACAGCAATTGAACAATTTGAAAGTCATGAAACTTAGTCATTCCAGAAATCTTGTCAAGACACCGGATTTTCGAGGGGTTCCAAATCTGGAGGAGCTGATTCTTGAAGGTTGTACGCGATTGTATGAGATTGATCGGTCCATCGGAGTTCTTCAAACCCTCGTTCTATTGAACCTAAAAGACTGCAAGAGGCTTGTGAGTCTTCCAGAAGGTATATATGGTTTAAATGCACTTAAAATTGTTGATATATCTGGTTGTTCAGAACTTGACTACATGCTAGAGGAATTAGGGCATGTTGAGTGTTTGGAGGAGCTCGATATCAGTGGAACTGCAATAAAACAAACATCACATTCCTCTTTTCATTTCAAGAACCTTAAGAATTTGTCTCTGAATGGATGTAACGGACAATCGAAACCCCTCCTATCCATTTTACCTGGAAAAAGCTCACATTCATCAGCTTTCTGCTCTCTAATGGCATTAGATCTAAGTAACTGCAATCTGCAAGAAGAAACAGTCCCCAAAAACCTTGGTTGCTTATCCTCATTGAGGGAAATTCTTTTTAGTGGCAACGACTTCATTAGTCTACCTGCATGCATAATTGGCCTTTCCAATCTTCAACGACTATATCTGGACAACTGCAGAAAGCTTGAATCCTTGCGACCATTTCCTTCGAATGTTCAGCATATAAGTGCACATGGCTGTTCTTCGTTGGAAACATTACCTGAAGATCTAGACACACCTAGCTTGCAATCTCAACAGTTAAATTTTGCGAATTGCTTTAAATTGTCAAGGAATCAAGGCGACAATAACCTTGTATTTATGATGCTGAGAAGATACCTACAGGTCTCTCTCTATCTCTCCTAAATACCCATAAAGCTGCTAAATTTCCATTATATACAATATTATTTTATAAATAGTAAAAATACAATATTATTGTAGCTCCATTCCCTTTTAAGAATTTCCAACGCATGCACTAAAAAAAAAAGAAAAGAAAGAATCAATATATAGTTTCTTTTCTATAGATTTGTTTATGAATATAATTAACAATCAAGGTTTTCTTGTGGGACAGGGGTTGTCAAACCCAAAACCTGGATTTGACATAGTTTTTCCTGGAAGCAATGTTCCAAAATGGTTTAGCCATCAAAGTTCAGGAGACTCTTCAGCAAGATTTGAGTTGCCACCAATTTGTTCTGAAAGTAAATGGATGGGATTTGCTCTATGTGCTATTTTTTTAATTCATAATCGATCAGCCCCTAGGTTCCTAGAACTTGCTCTTGGATGTATCTTGAAAATCAAGGGACATACTTGGCGCCATCAACTCGAAGATGGTTTCTTAACTTCAATGGAGCAATTTGGGTCCGATCAGCTTTGGCTTTTCTATTTATCTCGTCATGAGTTCTCGGAGATAGATTGGCATGAGACTACTAAGATGTCTTGCCATGTTGAGGTTATGTTTGCAGCCCATGGAATAGGCTTTTACGTAAAGAAGTTTGGGGTTCGTTTAGTATATGAGCAAGATGTGTTAGAGTTCAACCGAACGAGTAATCAGTTTCGAATCTCTAATTATGAAAATTGTGATGCTGCTCATCAAGTTCATGACATATCAGAAATGGATGGTGCCTTGGTTAAGAGGAGCTACAGTGATCATATCAAGAGTGATGAAGCAGAATCCAGTGGAATAAGCAACCTTGATATCGAACGGGAAACAAAAAGAATGAAAGAAATTGATTGAAGATGAATTATACTACGATTAATCGTTTGCATATGCTCAGAGATTTGAAGTATTAGAATTTAGAACACTTACCATCTGTGACTATATGATACCATTCAAATCGAACCAAATTCATTTTAATCGGAGATGTATAGTTTTTAACTGATATTTGACTGCGTTTGTGAATTTTGATAAACTGAATTATCAGTTTAGTTTATGATTTGAGGATCAACATAGTAAATTTGAATCAAGCTAAACTGAAAAATACATTAATGATTAAATGAAAAAAATAATCTCCACAAAATTTGTTGAAGAGTATTTTTAATACAATTGAATTTGCAAGAAATTTGATCATATTGTGAAATTTAAAGAAATAGATAATAGGATGTATTGATGAGTATACTTGGATTTATTGTCTGATTGTATAGACACTTATTACGTGCAATAATATGATATAGTGAGATGCATTCAATGCACAATAATAATTAAAGCTTACAAGTTTGTAGTAAATTTCAACAAAATAATGTTTTTATATTTATTTTTCATATTATTGTTGTTTTATATTTAATTATTTTTATATTTATATTTTTTACAGTTTTATATTATTATTATTTGCCCGTAGTAAATTTTCCAACAAATAATGTTTTTATATTTATTTTTCATATTATTGTTGTCTTTTAATTCATTTAATTATTTTTATATTTATATTTTTTACAGTTTTATATTAGAATTATTATTATATTATATATAATAAAAATATATAAAATGGTATAAAAAATGAATACTCGCCACAAGGTATTTTGTGGGAAGTTATGAAGTAGTAAAGAGATAGAAACAAGAACCTATCTGGGGAAATTGGAAAACCCCCCTTTTTTTTTAAAAAATTGAATACTCGCACAAGTATTTTGGGGAAGTTGATGAAATAGTAAAGAAGAAACAAAACCTATGATGACTTTGATCCTTTTGATGGAGACGATGGAGACGATGGAGAGAGAAAGGAGAAAGAGATTAGGAAAAAAAAATTTGATTGTTTTATTCTAAAAAAAAATAAGAAATTATTATTATTTTTTCCTTAGTTTGGGAGCAATTAATCTCTAATTTTTACTTTTGTTACAATTGTCAAAAAGTTGAAAATATGAAACAGTTGCTACAGGTTGCACAGTTTTGATTTTAATTTAGAATATTCAATCTAATACACTTCAGTATATCTTTTAGTTAATACTTTACTAATTAAATAATAATATCAAAACTACAAACAAATTATTGGTTGAGGTAGTAAGCAATCTCAACTCCTATAAGAATAAAAATATAAATTTGATTTCCAGTAATTTATATTTTTATATGATGATTTTATTTATATGCATATACCTAGAATAAGATTGACAACAATTTTTCAAAAAAAAAAAAATAATAATAATAATACTAAAAGCACCCTTCAATTGGAAATGAAAACTAATTTGTTGTTTTCAAAATCTGGAAGGCATGTGGAGCAATGGAATGCAATGCATTACCTAGTAAATACATATCCTCAACCTAACACAAACCTAATACATATGAAAAAAGAACAAAGACCTTTGATATTTAGCTTTTTTGTTAGCAGAGATCTAAACACAGACAAAGAAGTGAACATAATTAATATTTGTTCCAAAATAAGTAATGGCAACTAATTTTGTTTAAACAAAAACTTTTAGCATCAATTAAATAGCAAGTTGGATTCTCATATGATATAATACAAAAGCTGATGCGATCTCTCAACTACTGTTTTAGATGATAACATATCATAACAATAAATCAGATATTCACTTTGATAGTGATACACTGACCTGATTAAGACTTACTCTTCGTTAGATAATTTCATAATAGGGTCGACAATGTAATTGCACCTTATCTACTACTCCTTCTGTCTCAAAATATAAATTTTTTTAAGATTTTTGCATGAGAATTGAAGAATCAAATAATTTTTCTAAATTATAATAAAATCAAAAATAATTTAATTAAGTTATCATTTATCTTTAAACTAAGTATTACTTGTGAAGATAGTATGTATGTAATGATAAATAAGGATAATATTGGAAAAAAAATATTTATTGCTTATTAAAATACTCAAAATAATTTATATTTTAAAATAAAATAATCACCCAAAACGATTTATATCGTAGGATAAATGAAGTATACTGCATTGATTTCATGTCCACAGCCATAATTTAAAAATCAATCGCCAATGTATCCTAACTTAAATGGTTTAGGTTTAGGTGGGGACTCTCTCACTAAAAGTTTTAAGTCTCCTCTCCTCTATTTTAAAAATCGTATATTGTCCATCTGGACTGCTCTTTATCAGATGGTCGAATAACAAAAGAGAAAAAACATGAATTTTAACATTTTTATCTATCCTAATCAATTCTTTTAATTTTATTGATTAATACCATAAATTTCTTTTTTCATATCAAATTTAGCCTCTATTTCCATTCCATCGAATTAGTGCTGGTATCGCAGTTAAGCATGATATGTGGGTCTCATGAGATGCTAAATCAACGATGGAATAAAATTTTTTATTTAAATTAAAAAATATCTCAAAAGTATTTTAATATAAAAAATTATTCAATTCTCTCTACTTAGAAATTTTAAAAATTAAATTTTAAATTATCATTATTATTGAATTTTAAGATAAAATATTATTTACATATTTATTATATGAATTTAATCCATAATAAATATAAAAGATTTTAATTATTTCTAATTTTAGTTTAAATCAAATATGGAGTAATTCTTCTCTGCTCAAAAAAATATGGAATAATAATTTATGGAATATTTTAGTTTAAGATCAAATATGGAGTAATCTCTTCTCTGCTCAAAAAATATGGAATAGATAATTTATGGAATGATTAATTTTACAATCTAAATTTTTAATTATAATTAAAATATATAATAATAAATTATTTATTAATTATCAATTTCTAAATTAAAAAACACAAAATTTTAAGAAAATTAAAAGCAAAAAAATTGATTTCGGAATTGGTTAAAACTAAAAAAATTAAATTGGAATTGAACTCGAAATATAAAATGTTGAAACCTTGTGGTAGAATTAAGAATTTCAACTTAAATTTGGTTTTTTTTTAGAAGAAATCAACCTAGAAATTTTCATTAAGAGGAAAACTGTATATAGATATAAAATACAGATAGCAATAATATATAAGATCATATGTTTCTAATATTTTTATATAGAAAAGATCTAATAATAACACCACTTATACAAGAAATAAAAAAATCACAATCTTAACATTTGACGTATCTGAATCGAGTTGAATAGAGGCATAATTTTGTGCCATCGGTGAATCGTTGTCTCTTTGTGCCATCGGTGATCGCTTGCTCCACTTGGTGGCTATTCATGGCTACTATTCGACTCTATGGTCTTTTTACAAGTCCGATCTGATTACCTTCAGATTTCTTTTAGAGATCTACATTTATTTTTGCATAACTATCCAAATAAAAAAAAGACGCTAGATAAAATCACCGTAATGGTAATAACAATAACTCAGAATTAGATCTGAGAACAAAATCCCAATATATGGGCGATAATAAATCTCTATAATTGGGCGACAATAATTCAGATTTGTATACAAATCTGAGGATTATTTGAAAAAAACTAAACAAAAAAAAAGAAAAAGGGGTGACCACCGGTGAGAGCTCACTGATGGCTGCCCGTAGAAAAAGAAAAAAAGGGATTTTAGATTTTAGGTTTGATGGAGAAAGTCAGAGCGACTAGGTTAAGATATAATACCAAAGAGTATTTTTTTTATTTTGAAAATTGTTAGATCATTAAATTTTCTGTTAGAACAAAAATTTTACATTTATAAGATTTTTAAAATAATAATTTTTAGTTTTTCATTTTAAATCTTCAAGATTTTTAAGTATATAAATTTTTATTATTCCATATGAACTGGTTATTTAATACTTACATGCATCTGATGGGGCTTACAAATCATATTTAACCACTGCATCAGCATTAATTTGACAAAATGCAGGCAGAGACTAAATTTAATACGAAAAAAAATAAATTCACGGCATTAATTGATAAAATTAAAAAAATTCACTAGAATTATTAAAAAAACAAATAAAGTTCAAGATTTTTTTTACCATTTAACTTTATTAAATTTTGTAATAGTTCATAGTTGTGTTAAATTTACAAATCTGCTTTAATTATAATATTGTAACAAACTTTTTTTTAAGGAATTGTAATGATATCTTTATATCATATTTTTTAAAAAATAAATAATTTAAAAACAACCCATGGGCTTCGAATTCTCCAAAGGATCCACAAGGACAATATTTAAAAAAGGAAAAAAAAAAAATCGGATCAAGAAGAATTGGGGGAAAAAAAGTCTTAATAAAAGTTATCTTCTATTCCTTTCGGGAAAAAAATTAATTAATAAATAAAAGTTCTCTTCCATTTAGAAATAAAAGCTTTTTTTTTTTTTTTTTCAAAAAATAAAATCTGGAAGACAAGAGGTGCAATAAAGGCGTGCAATTCCTAGTAAATGCATGTTCATTTCTCTCATCAACCTAACACACCCACTACATATGATGAAAAAAAAAAAAAAAATAAAATCTGGAAGACAAGAGGTGCAATAAAGGCGTGCAATTCCTAGTAAATGCATGTTCATTTCTCTCATCAACCTAACACACCCACTACATATGATGAAAAAAAAAAACTTTAATACTGCTTAGCAGATCTAAACACAGACAAAGAACTGAACATAATTAATGTTTTGTTCCAAATTAAATAATTTAATTAATTTTGGCTAAAGAAAAATTTTTAACATTAATTAAATTGCTTGCACTTACAAAATGTACTCATAAAATAGATGGAGATGCTTGTAGTTCTCCAATTCACTAGTAATGCAACTCTAAAAATAAATAAATAAATAAATAAAGCTCAATTTGCCTCGTGAGTTTGAAAGCAACAGTTTATTTGTGCAAAAATTAATTTTTTGTATAATTTAATCCTGAACTTGCACCAAAAGCAGGAAGTGAACTTGGGAGCAATAATATTGCAAGCATCTTTAACTTAAACGCTTAACACAAACTTTCTTTTATGGGCATAGCAAATATAGGAAAAATTTACCTAAATCCGATTTATGTCCTCACCTACAGATCAAATCAATGAAATTTAGTATTTTTATTGAAACGAAAATATTTTTAGCCATATACTTAAAAAAAAATGGATAAAATCGAAAATTTTTTAGAAAATCTTTAATTTTATTTGCTTGGTATATAAATGAAAACATAGACATGGTCTAAGTAAATTTTTTGTAGCAAACATATGGAAGTAACTTGCCTGGAGTTCAACCCCTCTACTCAACCAACATGCCAAATGCACATATCACAATCAAAATAAAAAATCTTAACCCATTTTCATTATTTAATCAAAGATATTCTTCTACTATCTGATGCTTCAGATTCAGTCTATAGTCACCATCTTCCAATCGCTCATCAACCTGATCAAAGACAAATAAAAATCTTGGCAAACACGATAGTTTCTCTCCTCTTTTTGCCACTAAAACATCATTCTTCAATGGCTGGCTTATCGATTTCCAAGGCCAGTTTAGTTGTCATTCTTGGGCTACTAGGTAACGTATATTCTTCCTTTTTGTTCATCTTATCTAGGTAACGTATATTCTTCCTTTTTGTTCATCTTATCTAGAATATATATGCTAATTAAAGATCTCTGCGTTCTTGCTCAGGCAATATCACCACAGGGCTTGTCTACCTTGCACCTGTGTAAGTAATAAACATCCAAGAATTTATAGCCATAAATTGATATGTTTGGTTAAATTGATGTGCGGTGATCTGGTCAGGAAGACATTTTGGAGAATTGTGGTGAATAGATCAACTGAAGAATTTGAAAGTGCTCCTTATATGTTCAAGTTGCTAAATGCTTATTTTTGGGTCTACTATGGAATCATCAAGCCTAATAGCATACTCGTTGCTACGGTTAACGGTTTTGGTGCTGTGTTAGAGATCATTTTTGTCTCCCTCTTTCTAATTAATTTTTGCACCTCCAAGACTGAGGGTGAGTTAAATATATTTCATTTTCATCAAGCTAATTACTTTTTTTTAGTAATTTGGACCCAATTATTTAGAATTGGAACTTGTCTACTTTAAGAATTACCAAAAAAAAATAGCAGAAGTAATATATGTATTTTTCCAATTTTGTTTGTGAATAAAATGACAAGGGTTTCCTTATGTGGCAGTGGTTGTCAAATCCAAAAACTGGTTTTGACATAGTTGTTCCTGGAAGCAGTGTTCCGAAATGGTTTAGCCATCAAAGTTCAGGAGACTCTTTAACAAGAATAGAGCTACCACCAATTTGTTCTGATAGTAAATGGATGTGATAAGTAAAAATGGATGGGTTTTGCTCTATGTACTATTTTTATATCGAAAGATCGGGCGAATCGAACCGCTGACTTGTCGACCTTGAATCTTGGATGGTTCCATCAAAATCAAGGGACATACTTGGCGCCATCGCTCGAAGGTTGGTTTTCTTAAATTCCAAATGGAGCAATTTGGGTTCAGATCAGCTATGGCTTTTCTATTTATCTCGTCATGAGTTCTATGGATATAGATTGGCATGAGACCACTAAGATATATTCTTGCATGTTTGAGGTTCTGTTTACAGTCCATGGCACAGGATTTTATGTAAGAAGTTTGAGGTTCGTCTTAGTGTACTAGGCAGATGTGTTCGAGTTTAACCAAACAACGGATCAAATTTGCCAGTTTTCTAATTATGAGAATTTTGATGTTGTTCACCAAGTGGCGGATGAATCAGAAAATGGATGGTGCCTTGGTTAAGAGAAGCTACAAATGATTATATCAAGAGGGCGATGGAGCAGAATCCAGTGGAAGAAAGCAACTTTGATATTGAACCCACATACTAAAATTGAAGGATTTCTGATTGAAGAATATATATTAATTATCTTATATTAGTTTGATTTGAAACTTTATTCTAACTATAGTGATTGTTCGCCTATTATGCTAGTATTCAAATGTATATATACCACATGAATTATATTGTTGATTTTGTTTAAGTTTTTAAAAACTACGCTTGTAGGCCATTCGAAAGGATTAATGAAATAAAAAGAGAGAGAGAAATTTAGCAGCGGATATAGAGATGCACAGCTTACCAAACAATTATTGTCTCATTTAAAATTTTCATAAACCCTAGTGGGAATAGAGGAATTGCGCTTGGACCAAGCCATGAGAGATGGCTAGGAAAGAAGACTATCAATTAAAGGAGGGGCCAGAGCGAATGTTTACAATACGAACAAAAAGAATTCCCCTTTTGAGAACCTTTTATCACCTTTTATCCACATTACCCTAGATCCCAGAAGAGAGCAGAGTTCAGGCTTCACGTTTTCACTAAAAGAATCAAGCTACCATTCTCATTCACACAACAGCGAATGGACTCAACAAAACAAAGTGATAACGTTACAAACATTCGAGGAAAAAGCGTCGCTTATTTGTTTGGAATTAGAGACACGTATTAATGTTTTTAAATAAGCTGTGATAATAAAAAAAGTTGAGATGCATTACAAGCGATAAACCCTTCCCTTCCGGACAATTTTTATTTGACTACTATATTCCTTGCATTTTTTGGACAAAGATCTTCTCTTTCTTTCCTCAGCCTCTGGAAATTACTCTCTCTTTGAGGGATGAAACGAACAAACCAAACAGTGGAATATCATTATCAAACTTTGAGAACAAACAAACAAGTGGAATTCATCAAAACTTTGAGAAAGCTTTTTCAAAGTAAGTCTGTCCTTACTCTTTATGTATATATATTTCTTTGGATTCTAAGTTGCTTCACATGTTGAAGTGATTTGCTTTTGTTTTGGTAAAATTGCTTGGAAGAAAAAATTTCTTCTATTTACAGGCTTAAAGGATTATTTCCACACATAAAACGTAGAAGGTTGATTTCTTTGCATAAAGAGATCAACTCTTAAAAATTTCAGTCAACAACTGCACTAACTTGAATGAATCATGAACAGATGATTGGACAAATTAAAGCTGTTAGTTCAAATTTTTTGGACCTCATAGAAAGTCTTATTTACTTGAACATGGATAAGTTCGTTCTCCTTGATTCAAAATATGGACCTTCTAGTTGGGATAATTTGATTTGAATTTTTTTTCCTTTTTAAGTACTTGTGGAGTCCTAGCTAATTTCATATTTTTTTTTAAAAAAAAAAATAATTTTCTTCTTTTTGTTAATTTCTCTAGGTTTCGAACTTGAAATGTGATAGCCTTAGAGCCCAACTCTTATACCACTGAATGCCAGTTTGGCTTAACTGTTGGGCGATTGCTGATAGTTAGTGGGTGAAATCAATAGTTGTTCGAAAATTTTATTAGGTATGAATAACTGATTAAAAAATTTAGTAAATAATTAAAACCCAACTATTTAGTCGGGTACATAAATCGTCTAAACCTAATGCCTGCTAAATCGAAACTCAGTAAGGACGATCAAATATAAAGGTTGGAGTCAAGAATTATATGTCATGTCAATAATATATATACTACATGTTTTAAGGAAAATTCTTTTACATGGAAAATTCAACTGTGAATAATATAAAAAACAATTATTAAATTGGACAATTAAAAATTTATGGACACGTAGAAATACATTTATTTTTAGAACTGTGATGTTATTCTGTAATTATATGTAATTTAATTATTTACTTGTGGCAGAAGGTGACTTGCACTTGTGGAAGAGGGAAACAGTAACTAAAGCTCTTGCATAGCATAATGAGGCTATTTAGATTGCCTGCTACAAACAACAGAGAAACCAGTCCATCTTTTCCATGTCATTTGAAACTTCAAAATGATTTGGTGGGAATGGATTTACGGCTGGAGGAGATGAACTCATGCATAAGTATAGGATCGGATGGTGTTCGTATTGTAGGAATCTATGGGATGGGAGGAATAGGAAAGACAACTATTGCTAAAACTTATTATAATTTGATGTCTTGCCAATATGAGGGTAGGGCTTTTCTTGCCGATGTTAGAGAAGTTTGCTCGAAAGGCGGTCTATTGTCTTTGCAAGAACAACTTCTTAGAGATATCTTGATGAACAACTTCTTAGAGATATCTTGATGGAGAAACATGTGAAAATATGGAATGCGTATAGGGGAATGGTAATGATAAAAAATAGGCTGCGCTTCAGAAGGGTCTTGATTGTCATTGATGATGTGGATCAATTATATCAATTACAAAATTTAGCTGGAATGAAATATTGGTTCGGTTTAGGGAGTAGAATCATCATAACAACTAGAGATGAGCATTTGCTTATGAGTCATGGAGTGGATACAATATACAAGGCTAAGGAACTGAATAATACTGAAGCTCTTCAACTGTTTATTTTAAAGGCCTTCAAAGATAGCGGTCCTCCAAAAGATTATGTGCCATTATCATCGAAATTTGTAAATTATGCTAATGGCCTTCCATTAGCTCTTGAAGTTTTGGGTTCCTTTTTGTTTGGGAAGACTTTAAATGAATGGAGAGCTTCATTAAACAGACTGAAAGAAAATCCTGAAAATGAGATTTTGGATACACTTCAAATAAGTTTTGATGGATTAGAGGAAACAGAGAGACAAATATTCCTAGATATAGCATGTTTTTTCAAGGGGAAGAACGAAGATCACGTTACCAAAATATTGGATACCTGTGGTCTCTATCCTGATATTGGAATAAGAGTTCTTATTGAGAAATCTCTCATAACTATTGTGGGAAAAAGATTGTGGATGCATGATTTGCTACAAGAAATGGGTTGGAAACTAGTTCGGCAAGAATCTCCGAAGGAGCCGGGAAAACGTAGTAGGCTATGGCTTTATGAGGACATCTTTCATGTTAAGTCCAAAAACACAGTAAGAGTCTTAAAACCGATTGTATCTTGAACTCTTTTCTTCTAACCAAATCTTCAAGTTTGTTAATTCATAACCAAATCTTTCAAGTTTGTTAATCTATATATATAACATTTAACAAACCATCAGGAATTGGTTGCATTGGTTGATTCCTTATACATTTCATTAATTTGTTCTTGGCATATTTTTGGTATTTTTGACTAATTGTTGGGACCGGAAGATGTTGAAGGCCGGTCTTAGAATTGCCGGATGCCTAAAGAGAATTTCAATTGAGTGCAAGAGAATCAATTGAGTGCTAAAGCTTTCTCGAAGATGAAAAATCTCAGATTGCTCATCTTTCATAATTTGCACTTCTCTCAAAACCTTGAATATCTGTCTAGTGAGTTACGATTTCTCGAATGGCATGGATATCCTTGCAAAACTTTTCCACCAACTTTCCAATCAAAGCAACTTTTTGAACTTAATTTGTGTTTCAGCCAAGTTGAACAACTTTGGGATGGCATTAAGGTATGTTTATGTTCATGTAGTTTACTTGTTGACATATTGGATGTCACCATTGCTAATTTCCTGAATTCATCATTGTTAACAGCAATTGAACAATTTGAAAGTCATGAAACTTAGTCATTCCAGAAATCTTGTCAAGACACCGGATTTTCGAGGTGTTCCAAATCTGGAGGAGCTGATCCTTGAAGGTTGTACACGATTGTATGAGATCGATCGGTCCATCGGAGTTCTTCAAACGCTTGTTCTATTGAACCTAAAAGACTGCAAGAGGCTTGTGAGTCTTCCAGAAGGTATATATGGTTTGAAGGCACTTAAAATTTTTAATATATCTGGTTGTTCAAAACTTGACTACATGCTAGAGGAATTAGGGCATGTAGAGTGTTTGGAGGAGCTCGATATTAGTGGAACTGCAATAAAACAAACATCACATTCCTCGTTTCATTTCAAGAACCTTAAGATTTTGTCTCTGAATGGATGTAACGGACAATCGAAACCCCTGCTATCCATTTTACCTGAAAAAAGCTCACATTCATCAGCTTTCTGCTCTCTAATGGTATTAGATCTAAGTAACTGCAATCTGCAAGAAGAAACAGTCCCCAAAAACCTTAGTTGCTTATCCTCATTGAGGGAAATTTCTTTTAGGGGCAACAACTTCATTAGTCTACCTGCAAGCATCATTGGCCTTTCAAATCTTCAACGACTACATCTGGACAACTGCAGAAGGCTTGAATCCTTGCAACCATTTCCTTCGAATGTTCAGCTTATAAGTGCACATGGCTGTTCTTCGTTGGAAACATTACCTGAAGATCCAGACACATATAGCTTGCAATCTCTACAGTTAAATTTTGCGAATTGCTTTAAGTTGTCAAGGAATCAAGGCGACAATAACCTTGCATTTATGATGCTGAGAAGATACTTACAGGTCTCTCTCTACCTCTCCTAAATACCCATAAAGCTGCTAAATTTCCATTATATACAATATTATTTTATAAATAGTAAAAATACAATATTATTGTAGCTCCATTACCTTTTAAGAATTTCCAGCGCATGCACTAAAAAGATAAAAGGAAGAATCAATATATAGTTTCTTTTCTATAGATTTGTTTATGAATATAATTAACAATCAAGGTTTTCTTGTGGGACAGGGGTTGTCAAACCCAAAAAAGGAAGAATCAATATATAGTTTCTTTTCTATAGATTTGTTTATGAATATAATTAACAATCAAGGTTTTCTTGTGGGACAGGGGTTGTCAAACCCAAAAACTGGATTTGACATAGTTATTCCAGGAAGCAATGTTCCAAAATGGTTTAGCCATCAAAGTTCAGGAGACTCTTCTGCAAGATTAGAGTTGCCACCAATTTGTTCTGATAGTAAATGGATGGGATTTGCTCTATGTGCTATTTTTGTAATTCGAAATCGAGCAGACCCTAGCATCCTAGATTTTGATCTTGGATGTTCCATCAAAATCAAGGGACATACTTGGCCACATCATCTCGAAGATGGTTTCTTAACTTCAATGGAGCAATTTGGGTCCGATCAGCTTTGGCTTTTCTATTTATCTCGTCATGAGTTCTTGGAGATAGATTGGCATGAGACTACTCAGATATCTTGCCCTGTTGAGGTTAAGTTTACAGCCCATGGAATGGGCTTTTCTGTAAAGAAGTTTGGGGTTCGTTTAGTATATGAGCAAGATGTGTTAGAGTTCAACCGAACGAGTAATCAGTTTCGGATCTCTAATTATGAAAATTGTGATGCTGTTCATAAAGTTCTTGACATATCAGAAATGGATGGTGCCTTGGTTAAGAGAAGCTACAGTGATCATATCAAGAGTGATGAAGCAGAATCCAGTGGAATAAGCAACCTTGATATTGAACCGCAAACAAAAGAATGAAAGAAATTGACTGAAGATGAATTATACTACGATTAATCGTTTGCATATACTCAGAGATTTGAAGTATTAGAATTTAGAATACTTACCATCTGTGACTATATGATACCATTCAAATCGAACCAAATTCATTTTGAATCGGAGATGTATAGTTTTTAACTGATATTTGATTGGGTTTGTGAATTTTGATAAACTGAATTATCATTTTAGTTTATGATTTGAGGATCAACATAGTAAATTTGAATCAAACTGAACCGAAAGATACATTAATGATTAAATGAAAAAATAATCTCCACAAAATTTGTTGAAGAGTATTTTTAATACAACTGAATTTGCAAGAAATTTGATTATATTGTGAAATTTAAAGAAATAGATAATAAGATGTATTGATGAGTATTAAGGATTCGAATCTAAATCTATTGTCAGGTCGTATATGCATTTATCACTAGGCATATACGAGAAGCATTCAATGCAAAATAATAATTAAAGCTTACAAATTTGTAGTAAATTTCGACGGCATAATATTTTTATATTTATTTTTCATATTATCGTTGTTTTATATTTTTTTTTTGTATTTTTTACAGTTTTATATTATTATTATTATTATTATTATTATTATAAAAATATATAAAAATGTATAAAAAAATTGAATACTCGCACAAGTATTTTGGGGAAGTTGATGAAATAGTAAAGAAGAAACAAAACCTATGATGACTTTGATCCTTTTGATGGAGACGCATTGAATGTAAGCAAGAACAAAACCTATGATGACTTTGATTCCTCTTTGATGGAGACATTGGAGAGGAAGAAGGAGAAGAGCATTAGGAAAAAAAAATTTTATTTGATTGTTATTGTAAAAAAAAAAAAAGAAAAAAGAAATTATTATTATGTTTGTCCTTAGCTTTGAGGTAAAAAAAAAAAAAAAAAAAAAGAAATTATTATTATGTTTTCCTTAGTTTGGTAGCAATTAATCTCTAATTTTTACTTTTGGTCCAATTGTCAAAAAGTTGAAAATATGAAACAATTGCTACAGGTTGCACAGTTTTGATTTTAATTTAGAATATTTAATATAATACACTTCAGTCTATCTTTTAGTAAAGTACTACAAATAAAATATTAGATGAGGTGGTAAGCGACATCAACTCCTATACGGATGAGAACACGAGTTTGATTTCTAATAGTTTATATTTTTATACGATGATTTTATTTATATGCATATACCTAGAATAAGATTGACAACTATTTTTCAAAACCAGAAAAAAAAAAAAAGAAAGAGAAAATAGTATTAATAAAAGCACCCTTCAATTGGAAATAAAAACTAATTTTTTCTTTTCAAAATCTGGAAGGGATGTGGAGCAATGGAATGCAATGCATTACCTAGTAAATGCATATCCTCAACCTAACACAAACCTATTACATATGAAAAAAGAAAAAATACCTTTGATATTTAGCTTTTTTGTTAGCAGAGATCTAAACACAGACAAAGAAGTGAACATAATTAATATTTGTTCCAAAATAAGTAATGGCAACTAATTTTGGTTAAACAAAAATTTTTAGCATCAATTAAATAGCAAGTTGGATTCTCATACGATATATACAAAAGCTGATGCGATCTCTCAACCACTGTTTTAGATGATAACATATCATAACAATAAATCAGATATTCACTTTGATAGTGATACATTGACCTGATTAAGACTTACTCTTTGTTAGATAATTTCATAATAGGGTATACAATGTAATTGCACCTTATCTACTACTCATCTGTCTCAAAATATAAATCGTTTAAGATTTTTGTATGAGAATTAAAGAAATAATTCTCCTAAATTTTAACAAAATCAAGAATAATTTAGCTAAGTTATTTTTTATCTATAAACTAAGAGTTACTTGTGAAGGCAGTACGTATCTAGTATAAATAAGGATAACATTGAAAAAAATATCTATTGCTTATTAAAATACTCAAAACAATTTATATTTTGAAATAAAATAATCACCCGAAAACGATTTATATTTTGAAACAGAGAAAGTACATTGTATTGAGTTTATGTCCACAGCCATAATTTAAAAATTAATCACCAATGAATCTTAACTTAGATGGTTCAGGTTTAGGTGGGGAGTCTCTGACTAAAAGTTTTAAATCTCCTCTCCTCTATTTTAAAAATTGTATATTGTCATCTGGACTACTCTTTATTAGATGGTCTAATAACAAAAAAGAAAACACATGAATTTTAACATTTTTATCCATCCTAATCAATTCTTCTAATTTTATCAATTAACACTATAAATTTATTTTTTCATATCAAATTTAGTCTCTCTCTCCATTCTGTCAAATTGGTGCTGATGTTGCAGTTAAGCATGATATGTGTGTAACGCCCCATTTTTCTGTGTCTGAAAGAGTAAATTTACCAGTGTGTAAATAGTACCACCAGTCCGGAAGTCGATATTATTTTGGTTCGGAAAAATTACAGTCGATATTATTTCTTGGTTCGGAAAAATACTACGTATGTTTTAATATTTCTTTAATATTTAAATGAAATAATTCTCATTGTAACAAAAAATACTCGCACTAAAACTGTGAATACTCAAATTACTTCTACTTCATAATTTTAGTTTTATGATTTATATGTTAAGTTAAGACGTGTCTCCGGCACCGGACACCGAATGTGGCATCCGCCGTCGAGTCTCTCGGGACTGGGCGGTGGGTGTTACAATGTGGGTCTCATGAGATGCGAGATCAATGATGGAATAAAAAATTTTATTTAATTTTAAAAATCTAAAAATATTTTAATCTAAAAAATTATTCAATTCTCTGTACTTAGAAATTTTAAAAATTAAGTTTTAAATTATCATTATTATTGAATTTTAAAATTAAAAATATTATTTACAAATTTATTATATGAATTTAATCCATAATAAATATAAAAGATTTTAATTATTTCTAATTTTAGTTTAAATCAAATATGGAGTAATTCTTCTCTTTCTCTTCTCGAACAAAATATGGGAATTAATTTAAATTTATGGGAATATTAAATTAATTTTACAATCTCAAATTTTTAATTATATTAAAATATATAATAATTCTTATTTATAATTACAATTTCTAAATTTAAAAAACACAAAATTTAAGAAATATAAAAGCAAAAAAAATTGATTTAGGAATTTGGGTTAAAACTAAAAAAATTAAATTGAATTGAACTGAAAATATAAATGTTGAAACCCTTGTGGTAGAATAAGAATTTCAATAGTTTGTTTTTTTAGAAGAAATCAAACTAAAAATTTCATTAAGAGGAAACTGTATATAGATATAAAATACAGATCAATATGTTTCTATATTTTTATATAGAAAGTCTAATAATAAACCACTTATACAAAAAATAAAAAAACACAATCTTAATTTGAAGTATCTATCTGGTCGAGTTAGATAGAGCATAATTTTGTTTGCCATCGCCGTGATCTATCGCTTGCTCATTGCGTGGCTACTTTCATGGCCAACTGCTCAGACTCTATGGCTTTCTACAAGTCCGATCTGATTACCTTTTAGATTTCTTTCGGAGAATCTCTATTTATTTTTGCATAAATATCCAAATAAAAAAAAGAGGCTAGATATATTTTTGCATAACTATCCAAATAAAAAAAGAGGCTAGATAAAATCACCATAACGGTGATAACAATAATTCAGAATTAGATCTGAGAACAAAATTCCAATATATGGGCGATAATAAATCTCAATAATTAGGCGACAATAATTCAGATCTGTATATAGATTTGAGGATTATTTGTAAAAAAACTAAACAAAAAAAGAAAAAGGGGTGACCACCGGGAGAGCTCACTTATGGCTGCCCGTAAAAAAAGAAAAAAGAGATTTTAGATTTTAGGTTTGATGGAGAAAGTGAGAGCGACTAGGTTAAGATATAATACTAAAGAGTATTTTTTATTTTGAAAATTGTTAGATTATTAAATTTTCTATTAGAACAAAAATTTTACATTTATAAGATTTTTAAAATAATAATTTTTAGTTTTTCATTTTAAATCTTCAAGAATTTTAAGTATATAAATTTTTATTATTCCATATGAACTGGTTATTTAATACTGATACTCATCTGATGGGGCTTACAAATCATATTTAACCACTGCATCAGCACTAATTTGACAAAATGCAGGCAGAGACTAAATTTAATACGAAAAAAATAAATTCACGGTATTAATTGATAAAATTAAAAAAATTGACTAGAATTATTAAAAAAACAAATAAAGTTCAAGATTTTTTTTACCATTTAACTTTATTAAATTTTGTAATAGTTCATAGTTGTGTTAAATTTACAAATCTGCTTTAATTATAATATTGTAACAACACTTTTTTTTAAGGAATTGTAATGATATCTTTATATCATATTTTTAAAAAATAAATAATTTAAAAAGAACAAATGGGCTTCGAATTCTCCAAAGGATCCACAGGGACAATATTTAAAAGAGGAAAAAAAAATCAGATCAAGAAGAATTGGGGGAAAAAAAAGACTTAATAAAAGTTATCTTCCATTCCTTTCGGGAGAAAAAGTTTAATAAATAAATAAAAGTTCTATTCCATTTAGAAATAAAAGCTTTTTTTTTTTTTTTTTCAAAAAATAAAATCTGGAAGACAAGAGGTGCAATAAAGGCGTGCAATTCCTAGTAAATGCATGTTCATTTCTCTCATCAACCTAACACACCCACTACATATGATGAAAAAAAAAAAATAATAAAGTTCTATTCCATTAGAGAAAATAAAAGCTTATATTTTTTTATGTTTTTCAAAAAGTAAATCCTGAAGACAAGCCAGAGTGACCAATAAAGGCGTGCAAAATTCACTAAATAAAATGCAAATGTTCATATATCTCTCACAACAAACTAACACACACCACATAACATATAGGATGAAATAAAAAAAAAAAACTTTTAATTACTGAAGAGCATAGATACAGATCTAAAAGCACAGGATCAATAAGATACTGAACAGATAATTAAAATGTTTTTGTTCCATAAATAATTTAAATTTAAATTTGTTAGGCTAAAGAAAAATTTTATTAAAAGAACAATTAAAAAAAATTGCTATGCAAGCTTACAAAATGATAACTCATAATAATATAGATGGTTAGATGCTTTGTTAGTTCCTCAACAAATTGACAGAGGAGTATATTGCCAATCCAATCTAAAAATATAAAAATATAAAGCTAATTTTGCCTCCTATATTTGAGAGCATACAGTTTATTTGTGCAAAAAATTAATTTTATATTATATATTAATTAAAGAAATTAATATCACTGATATACTTGACCAACCAAAAAAGCAGAGAAGATGAAACTATGGAGCATAAATTAGAGCAAAGCAAATCTTGTAACTATAGAAACGCTTAACAACAAAACATTTTCTTCTTATGGGAGCAATCAAGAGCAAATCTATATATGAAAATGAAATGTAAACCTAATCCAAGATTTATGGTCTTATATCTATGGACCAGAAATCAAATGAAAAATTTATATTATATTATTGAAACGAAGAATAATTTTTACCAAATAACTTGAAAGATAAGAAAATAAAAAATCAAACATATTATTTTAGAAAAATCATATTATTTTATTTAAGCTAATGGTCTATAAGTGGGAACAATGAAACTTAAAATACGTAAAGACAAATATATATTTATTACTATGCACACCCAAAAGGATGATTTATAGGTATGATGGAAAGTAACTTGCCTGGAGTTCAACCCCTCTAGCAACCAATAAATGATGTCAATGACAGCACATAATCACAAATCAAAAATAAAAATATCTGATAACCCATTTTACATTATTTAATCAAAGATATTCTCTACTTATCTGACGCTGTCAGATTCAAGTCTTAGTCATAATCATCCAAACATCTCATCAAACCTGATCAAAAGAGATAATAAAATTATTGGCAACGAGCAGTAGTATTTTCTCTCCTCTTTTTGCCATCTAAAACATCCATTCTTCAATGTGTTATTCGATTTTCCAAGGACACAGTTTCAATATGTTGTCCATACTTGGGACTGCTAAGTAATCGTATATTCTTACCTTTTTTGTTCATCTTATCGATAGAAAATAATAATATGCAATAAAGAAATCTCTGACATAATTTGAGCGTCAAAAAGGCAATATCACCAACAGGAGCTTTGTCTACCTTGCATCCTGTGATAAGTAATAAAACATTACCAAGAAATGTGAATATATATGCTAATTAAAGATCTCTGCATTCTTGCTCAGGCAATATCACCACAGGGCTTGTCTACCTTGCACCTGTGTAAGTAATAAACATTCAAGAATTTATAGCCATAAATTGATATGTTTGGTTAAATTGATGTGCGGTGATCTGGTCAGGAAGACATTTTGGAGAATTGTGGTGAATAGATCAACTGAAGAATTTGAAAGTGCTCCTTATATGTTCAAGTTGCTAAATGCTTATTTTTGGGTCTACTATGGAATCATCAAGCCTAATAGCATACTCGTTGCTACGGTTAACGGTTTTGGTGCTGTGTTGGAGATCATTTTTGTCTCCCTCTTTCTAATTTTTGTACCTCCAAGACTGAGGGTCAGTTAATTATATTTCCTTTTCATTAAGCTAATTAATTAATTTTTTTTAGTAATTTGGACCCAATTAGTTAGAATTGGAACTTGAAACACCTCGGCTCTTAAAATGCAAAACTAATTTCATTCCAACAACAAAGATATTTATACAAAACATGCAACTTACCTTCTAGCAACTTTCTACCTAATCCTTACAACTTAAAACTTAAAACTTAAGTTAAGCTAATCCAAATCATTAGTTTACTGTCATCCATCATTCAGTTCACGTTTACAAGGAAGCAGAATACCAAAAACACAAGTTAAGTGATAAAAGGACAACCTAATATCACTTCTCTAACAGGTGTTTATATAATCTGATTAGCAATAAATGATTATTTGCGTTTGTATCATTAGGTCAAAACTGCGATTCTAGCTGGGGTTTTAGATGTGGTGTTTCCAGGAGCAGTAGTTGTGGCTGCACAATTGTTGTTGAAAGAAGAGAAAAGAATTGATGTAGCTGGCTTCTTTTGTGTTTGCTTCAGTATGGCTGCCTATGGTTCACCTCTTTCAGCTATGGTATGTAATGTACAAGACTTATATATTGAATTAAGTTTTGGTAGTTGCAATTTTCCACATAGCTTTGTGCCTGAAAGATACTTGCCTTTTTTTATATATTTATCACACTTTATTTATACTTTATTTATATATTTATCATTAATTAATTATCAAATTTACTAGTATATATCTTGTGTAAATAATTCTTTTCCAGAGTGAAAACAGTAATTAAACATTTCACTGAACTTGATAATGACATTTCTGTACCTTTAATATTGGACGCATGTTAGGCTATACAATATAGTTTCCTCTTTAAAAAAAAAAAAAAAAAAAAAAAAAAAAAAAAAAAAAAAAAACATATTCTAGTACTATAAATATTAGGAACGCATAAGAATATAGACGCTAATACAATATAGTTTCTCATTTAAAAAGAAAAAAAAAAAAAAAAAAAATAAGAGAAAAAAACAAACAATGAATAAGGGCATGCTGATTGCTACTAAAGTAAGAATAAGAAAGCGAGAGAGAGGAAAGATAATTAAATAATGACACGGGCCCTGCGTACTAATTGTGAGGACTAGGCAGGCGCCAAAAAAAAAAAAAAAAAAAAAAAAAAAAAAAAAAAAAAAACAAACAATGTAGGGCATGCTATTGCTACTAGCGAGGGAAATTAATTGCACGGGCCCTGCTAATTGTGACTGGGCCATGACATGACAAGCCTTTAATGCCACGACGTCGTTGAAATTGATTTTCTGTTTAATTCTTTTTGTCAGCAAATATTGAATAAGTTTTCAATTAAGAAATAAATTGAATAAAACAAAAATTTAGTTTTATCTTCATAGAAATATAATTTTTTTTAGGGAAATAGAAATATAAAATTTTTTTTCTTTTTTTTTACAAAACATTTGTTTCTTATTTCTTATTATCCAAAATAACATCATTACCATGCAATTTGAAAATTTCTTAGCAAAATAGGTTTTAAGATGGTAGAACTCATTTTGATTCAAATTGAATTGAAATCACAACTAGTTTTTCCGATTTCAATTCTGGTTTTCAAGATTTTTTTTTTATTAATTTATTTTCAATTCCCAAACCAATGGTTCCATTAAACTCGTTTTGATTTGATTTATTTGATTTCCGACTGATTCTAACTTTTATTAGGCTTTGATTTTGAACTGAACCTTGGCAATCCTAATCCCCTTATGAAACTGCATTGACATGAATTTTTGAATTTTTTTTTTTTGAGCATTAGAGAGGGGATTCTAATATGAATCTATTGGCAGGTCGTATATGTACTTACCACTAAACTATCTATTGCTTTGCATTTTTAGTAATCTTTTAAATGGGTTAAATAAAGAAAGATTTACAATATAATCAAAAGAATTGGCTTGTCATTCTTTTAAGATTAAGATGTCCAAATCAAGATTTAGAATATTACTAAATTGATACCAGTGATTCAAATGTGCAGAAAACAGTGATAACAAGCAAGAGTGTGGAGTACATGCCATTCCTTCTCTCATTTTTCCTTTTCATAAATGGAGGAGTTTGGACTTTCTATGCTATAATTACCAACGACTGGTTCATTGGAGTAAGTTCGCATCTCTAATCCCATTTTTTTACATAATAAATCTCTAATCCCATTTTTTACATAAAATAATAATAATAATAACTAAATAATAAATAATAATAATAATAATAATAATAAAGCTTTGATTGCAATAAAATTAATAATAATAATAATAATAATAATAAGCTTTGATTTCAATAAAATTATCTTTAAAGCTAGGAGAATATAAGTAAAAAATGTTCATGGATTGGAGTTAAACTTAAAAATTTTATGCAAAATTATTCATTCATTATGTTCAGTTAAATTTGATAGTTTTTAACCTTTTCTTTTTATTCAATTTAGACGACAATTTTAGAAAATTAAATTAATTATTTTATTTCGATCCAATTTTACCATCGTTTAGATATTTGTACTAAACTTTATTTTAATTAAAATAGTATTTAATTAAAGGGTAATTTAATCAAATTTTTTTTAAAATGAGATGATTCAATCATTTTTTAATTCTTATAAAAAGTACAAATATGTCAAATTTAATGGAACGAAAATATTAATTTATATTACATTCACTTATAAATAATCTGACCCCAATATATATAAATTGGTAGTATATAAGGTCCTACTTATTCATTTATAAAATGTGATATTAATTGCTGGTATTTGGAAATAATAATGAAGCTCTTGTATTGTATTGTAGCTACCAAATGGGACAGGATTTGGCCTTGGGACAGCCCAATTAATTCTGTATGCAATATATTATAAGAGACCTCAGCCATGGAAGAAAAGTTCAAATAAATTGGAGGAAGAATGTCTTATCCCTGAAAATCAGCGGATTACTGCAAAAGATTGAAGGTTAGAGGCACAATTTCAATTAATAACTGTAGAAGACTGCAATCGGGAGTTGATTTGCTAGATGTTTCATCTCAGAGATTCCCTGCCTTGATCAATTAAGAGAGTCCTGTTTAATTTTTCATTTTCAAAAACCTTTATTTCATTGATGTGCTCTTACAATGAAAATGAAATGTAATTTCTATAATTAGGTTCTATTTTCTTGTTTTTGATGAGCAAAATTAATTTATTTTATCATAATAATAAATTAGAAAAAATTTAATTTATTCAAGTAATTTAACTTCAACCAACAAGCTCTTAAAACGCTCGAATCCAACATAGAAAAGTTAAGTGAAAAGACTTCATAAAAAATAGTCCGAATATAATAAAATAAGAAGGAACATTCATAAAATCTTTTCTTGAGATAAGAAGAAAAAATAAAAAAAAAAATTAAAATATAACTATGACATTGTAGAATAAACCAAATTTCACGATCATGCTAAGAAATGTCCACAGCATCGACTCCCTTCTTAGCTAATCAGTATATGAAAAGATTACATTCTTTATTGGCAGACCTGAAATAACACAATAAAGAATTTATTTTCTTGTTTTACTTCTAAGAAATTCAAAATATTTAATGTTTTTAGAGTTTAAATTATTTAAATAATTGATCAAATCAACCTGAAGCAACTAGTTTAATTTGATTTTAAAAATATTTGATTCAGTTTTGATTTTAATCGAAAACAAAATCAAAAATTTTTTTTATTTAATTTAATTTTCATTTTAAAACTGATAACTTAATCAAATTAAGTCTAAATAATGAATCAAAAATTGAACTATCTTTTTTTTATTATTCTAAAACTTAGATATTAGGGTTTCTCTCTCAATTATCTAACTCTAGCTTTTGTTAGCAGTAGCCTTTACTTTTCTTTTTTCTTCTCGCTCTTAATCTTTTATTTATTTTTAATAAACTCAGGTCTATTTTCTTTTAATAAATCTGTTTTTTCTTTGTTTTTTTGTTATTGTTGCTTTGTCTCCATATTTGGAGTTCTTTTGTTCCTTCTTTTGTGAGAATTTAGTTCATTCTTTATGAATGTTTGTTTTTAAAAGGTATGATATTTGATTTTATTTGGTTGAAGACTTTAGATCTTGTTTTACTGATGTGTATCTTAGATCAATGAAGCCTGGTAGTGCAGCATATTCTTCCATTAATGTTATTAACGTATAGTGACTTGAACTCATCCGTGTACATCATACGCAACAAGTTTTTGGAAAAGCAATCCAAGCATAGAATATCGAGAGAAGTTATTTTGTCGTCCAAATCAATTAAATGACCAATTGCTACTATGAAGATTTATATCAATCAAGGTTATCTTCAAGAGGAAAAATCCAATATTGTTTCTTTTAGTTTTAGTTTTATTATCAAGCGGAAAAATCTAATATTATTTCTTTTAATTTTAGTTTTATTATTCAAAAAAATATTATCTTCAAGAGGAAAAATCCAATATTGTTTCTTTTAGTTTTAGTTTTATTATTCAAAAGAATATAAATAATTCTTTTGTTGTTAAGGATGAGTGAACTTTCTATTAATTATGATAATAAGTTCTATATCTGATCTAATTAAGTATTTGTAATACTTGATTTTATTATTAATGAACTATATTTCTCAAAAAAAAAAAAAAAAATTGAACTGAATCAACTCGATTTGATTCAATACAATTATATAAAATAATAATTTCAATTCAATTTAGATGTTAAAAAATTTTGGCTTATTTAATTTTAATTGATTCGATTTTGACTTGAGATAACTTTTTACACAACCCTAATATCAGTTGGAGCCTCTTCATTCACAAAGTTTCTATTAATTTAAGTTTTATTTCTTGGTCTTTCAGCAAACAAGGCAATTTTTCAGTGAAAAGCTTATCATCTCTATTAGAGGAAAATGAGATGGGTGAGTTAACTGTCTCTCTGAATTTTAAACAACTTTAGTCACTTTTAATTCCAAAAGTCTCTTTTTTTGCTTGGAGAGTCATGAACAACAAAATCCCTTGTCGAATTAATTTGTTTAGGCGTAAAATTCTAAACAACATAGAAGAGTGCCTTTGTCTGCTATGTGAATCTGATTTGGAAACAAATGATCATGTGTTGCTTTTGTGCTAGAAGGGTGTGGTTTTGTGTGTTGCAATGGTGGAGCGTTGTATGGCAAACTTTTTGGTTAATCTTATTTGGCAATGGCAAAGCATCATTATGATAAAAGGTTTTTCTGCAATCATGAAGTCTATGATGTTTTTAACAATATGATCCTTGAGGTCAGCTAGAAACAAAAAAATGACAAAAAATGACAAAGAATCTAGAAGAAGTTGTCGAAATGATTAAAGTTAGATGTTTTGTACTGTTGATAATACACGTAACATTGCCATCTTGTCATTGTAAATTAACGTGCTTGTCTATTCATTCAATAAAACATTTCATCATGTCCCTACTACGGTCTGTCGTTTATCTCCTTCCCCAACAAAATACGCATCGATGTCATTTTCTCTGACTAATTGAATATCACACTACAAATTCCAAAACGTCGGCTATGGATTCAGAATTGCTATCCATTCCTTTAATTCATCATGAAGAAAATTGAAAATGAAAGCAACTTTTTTAGTATTAGATACAATCACCGGATCTCATACTCAAATGATCTAGAATTAATCAATGAAACCATAATACCTTTGAATTACAAAATAAATTAATATTTTTCTTTTCTTAATAATATTCAACTCTTAAACAACATTTCTCTTAGGGTTTGTTTACTATTTGTGATGACTCACAGGCAGTAGAATTACAAAATGGTTAGCTGAGGACGGATAGCTATGAACTACTTAAACTGATTTTACGTAAAATTTTAGTAACAGTTGCTATTAAAATATAATATAAAATAATTATTAAGAATAAAATTATTTTCACAAATATTATAATTAAGAAATAAAATTATTTTCCACAAATATTATATTATAATATATATAATATTTACTAATGTATTTATATTTTAAATAAATATACAATAAAAGGATCACATAAATAATATTTTAAATAATTATTTTCATAAAGATAATTCGTAATAAACACATATTGTGCTTAATGCATAATTATTATTTTTAAATAAATATAAATAAAAGGATCACATAATAATATTTAAATAATTATTTTCATAAAGATAATTCTTACTAAACACATATGGCTTAATGCATATTTTTGCCTTAAATTTTCTATTGTGTTGCAATTTCGCTCTATTTTGATTTTTATATTAATTTCATCATGAACTTTGATTTTTTGACCACCCTAAATTGCAATTAAGATTTAAATTCAAATAATACATTAATATAGGGTTAACTTAATCCAAGCTTCACTCACACAAATTTATTAAAGTTTAATTGTTATCTTGAGCAAATAGATTTTTTATTTTAAAATCTAAACTATAATTGATTATAGTTAAATATTCTATTTTTGATAAAAAAAAAAAACGTTATATTATTTAATAGTTCATAAGTCCAATAATTTCATAGTAGTCGATTTTTTCTAGTTTTGTTTTTTAGATTTTATAATCATTTCAAAATTTACATTAAAAGTCAAATAATAATAATAATTAGTTTATTGTTTATGAAGTACTCTAATTTTTTTTGAAAACCGCTTCCATGTATTAAATAATGTATTTTATTTATTACTTATTATTAATTAAAAATAATTTAAAAATATTAAAAATTAAATTATAGAGATTTTTGTACTATTAACCCAAAAGCTTCTTTATTCACACAAATGTATTAAGCTAATCTAAATTCAAAGTAAAGAATGAAACCCATAATATTATATTTTTAAAGTCATAATTACAATTTAGGGTGCAATTAGAACAAAGATTCCATTATTTGATATAGTTAAATAAAACCACTAATGGTTAAAGGCTAAATTAGTAAAGAAACTCCAAACTTTGTGTGTAGTTTTAATTTTACCCTAAATCCAAATTTTTTCTCCTAGTATCTTGAATTTCAATTTTAGTTATAACAACACTCTAAGTTCAAATTATACCAAGTTTAATGAATAAAATATTATTTTCATTAGACCTACATGGTCAGGCTAATAAAAAACTCAACGTTTAACAATACCGTCACTAATAGTGGTTAGAATTTTTTTTGAAATTCATGAAAAGCCAAATAAAATAATAAATTTTAGTTAGTTATAATGATAAAATATTAATTTCGGTTTTTTTTTTTCCATTTTAAGCATGAAATTTAGTTAGAGTTTATTGAAATTATACTTTAGTTAAATTTCTTATAAAAATAAGTTTTATTCATTGTGGTATAATTTTATTTTTAGAGAGTCATTACTTATTGTCATTATTATATGAATAAATAAAAAGTATTTTACTTTAAGATGAATATATTTATTTTTTATTTTAATATTGAGTATAATTTAAAATTAAGATATTATTGTAACTAAAATTAAAATAAAAAGTACTAAGAAAAGAAAGTTAGATTTAAAGTACAATTAAAATTATTCGCAAAATTTGGAATTTTTTTAACGATTCAGCCAATGGTTAAATATAAATCAACTATTAACAGCTAAACCAATATTGGTGTTTCTAAGCAGCCATTTTTATAATATTTAATTTAATTAAATCAAATAGATACTAAATTGTAGAAAGGAAAAAGACTAGAAATGACCACATGCCTCCAATAGACAGTGGATTGATACTACACGTAACTCCTACAATGCACAAGTGTGGTTTCACAATCGAGGGTGAGGCATCATTTGTCTTTAAATGCAGAGAAAGAGATACAGATTCTAGACCACATCCACGATACTGCCAAACAAGCATGAACCACATCCATTTGCTTCATTTTTTAAATAATTTAGGCTATACAATTTGTGTGATACTACACTAATTAATGAAATTAATGTATTAAATGAGTTAGTACCGAAGTAATATAATAGTATTAAATTATGAACAAAACTAGTCTCATAATTTCCACTACGACTTAAATCCCTGAATTCCTATATTATAAGGCAAACATTATGAACAAAACAGCTATCATTCTTCTTCTATATATATGCGTGCATAACAATGAAGAAACTTAACCCGCGTCTCTCTCTTTCTCTCTGATAAATCCACTGCTATGCCTTCCCAAAGCAACCAACTTCACTTCATCTTGTTTCCTCTAATGGCCCAAGGCCATATG